GGGCGAGGGGGGGGGGGGGGGGTATGTCTCCTCCCCACCCTGCACTTGGTACATGCTGACTGGTGTTACTGCCCTATGTCACTAGTCAGTTGCTTTCCTCCCAAGCAGGCTGCTAATGGTACATTCCCCTTCAGCCCTGCTGCCTTGGGTACTTAGCAAGCCCACCCCCATGCTAGTGGTATGGGCTGAGCCGCTCCCCACCCCCAATGTCCTATGGTCTGTTCCGTCTCCTCCCCACCCTGCACTTGGTACATGCTGACTGGTGTTACTGCCCTATGTCACTAGTCAGTTGCTTTCCTCCCAAGCAGGCTGCTAATGGTACATTCCCCTTCAGCCCTGCTGCCTTGGGTACTTAGCAAGCCCACCCCCATGCTAGTGGTATGGGCTGAGCCGCTCCCCACCCCCAATGTCCTATGGTCTGTTCCCAGCTGCCTCCTGTGTCAATGGTACTTGCCAAACCATTTACCATCTCCCACCATGTCCAGGGGCACGTTCCCAGCACCTCCCCCCTCCCCAACCAGTGGCACATGCTATTTGCTCCTGAGTCCCATAATAGGGTCCCTGGGCCCCCCCATCCCGAGCCAGTGGCACGAGCCGTCTGCTCCCCCAGGCCCCGGGGTGGGGTCCCTCTGCCCCCGCTGTGAGATGCCCGGTTCTCTCGCAGGGTACCAAGGCGCAGTACCTCGCAGCCAAAGCCCTGAAGAAGCAGTCCTGGCGCTTCCACACCAAGTACATGATGTGGTTCCAGCGGCACGAGGAGCCCAAGACCATCACGGATGAGTTTGAGCAGGTGGGTGCTCTTCCTCCATCCTTTCCTCTCCCAGGGTACTGCCCCACTGGGGAATGCAGCCACCTCTGGGGTGGGGCCACTGACGTGGTGGAAGGGATTCAGGGAGGCCCTACCATAACAAGCCAGTCTGCTCCCCAAGGCAGGCTCCTCCATAACAAAGCAGCCCTCTGAGCCCCAGCCCCCATGGAGCAACCCTACAATAACAGTGGGAGGTGTGCCGTGCTCTACACGCAGCTGAGACCTGGCCATGCCCAGCCAGCACCATAGGCTCCTTCTGTCTGTCTGCCTCCATCTGCTGATGCCTTCTCTCCCACCCCTCAGGGCACGTACATCTACTTCGACTATGAGAAATGGGGCCAGCGGAAGAAGGAAGGGTTCACTTTCGAGTACCGCTATCTAGAAGACCGCGACCTGCAGTGACGCCTGCTCACCCCCTATGGGGCGCCAGCCTTCCAGTCACGCGGGCGGGACATTGGGGTGTGGGGGAAGGAACAAGAACCAAACTTGCTGCCTCCACCCCCTTCTACCATCCCCCCGGGCGGGGGCCCCTCCAGCCATCCGAACCCTTTAAATGAATGCAGTTTTAAAAGACAAGAACAAGGGGGGAGGGAAATCAGCCATTCCCTGCCCCCCTTCTGGGGTGTGTTGAGGGGCGGGCAGAGGGACATGCGCAGATGCAGAAAGTGAACAAAGAAATCTCGGAGGGGGGAGGGGTTAAAATCATTTGGCTTTTTTTAAAAATTAAAGCAGCAAAAAAATTCAGCAGAATTATTGTAACCCCCAAAAAATCCTACTGGGGGACCTCAGACCCCACCTCTCTCAATTCTCCCCCCCCCTCCCATTTGCCTGTTTTTTGTCTCTTCCCCCTTTCATGAGCTTTCGATCCAGCCCCAGAGCAGCTCTGCTGGGTTTATCTTGGGGGGAGGGACGGATAGGAATTCATAAGGGGGGGCTGTTTCTCCAGATTGCTTTCCCCCCCTTCTCCCGAGGTGCTATGCAGCCGTTGTGAGGGCCGGGTGTTTAAAATATTTTTCGTAACCCTATTTTCATTTTGGAAAATATTTATGAATAAATAGTTTTATATGATGTCTTCTCACACAAGAAATGGGGGGGAAGGGGGGGGGAAAGGCACCAGCAACCTGCAGCTTTTCTTTCTGCACTGCGGACAGCGTCGGAGAGGTAAGGGCAGGGATGAGACACGAGTCCTGCTGTAGGGTTCGCTAGACATGCAGAGCCAGGACTCCTGGGTTCTCTCCCTGGGGAGGGGAGTGGGGCCTAATGGTTGCAGCAGAGGGGGTTGGTAGCCAGGTTCTCTCTGTGGCTTGGGGGAGGGGTTGGGTGGTGGGAGTGAGTCTTGTCCCTTTTCCCCTGTGGATATAATGGGCACATGCACCCAGCCACTGGGCTTGTGGGGGTAGAAGGACCACATTTTGCTCTCGTTTTATTCTGAAAATATCGTAGGACATGGCCGGGGATCACCCTCAGCGAGTCAGTGGTACATGACCCCCCTGCCCCCTCTGCAGACAGTAACAGGATGGTATGTACTGGGAGGGGGGAGCTTCTGCAGGAGGCGACTTGCTGGTATTTTTCCAGGGGGGAACTTCCCCAACTCTGGGCCCAGAGCTGAACCTGCTTGGTGCAGCTATCTAACCCCTGGGGGGCGGTTGCAGCCACGCCACCTGCTCCAGGCTCGCTGGCAGAGGAGCTGTCAGAGCCCACTGCACAGGAGTCTAAGCTGAGGACTGGAGAGCGCAGTCGGCTATCCCTGCCTCAGTTTCCCCATCAGATGGTGGACACTGCAGGGAGCCACACCACAATCCCCTGCCAGGGAGGGGGCACAAGGGACTCCAATACAGGCTGGGGTTCAGTGGAGGGATGGAGCCACCTTTTATTCTCCATAGCTAAAGGGCCAGGCCTCCTCAGCAGCCACACTGCATGGTGGGCACCATTGGGGGTGGGGACATAAGAAACCAGAGGCAGAAGTGGAACTTGAAAGCCAGGAGTCCTGAGTCCCAGCCCCCTTCCAGGAACCACTACACCCTGCTCCCCTCCCAGAGCCAGGAGCTAGACTTCCTTGCCCCCCCAACCACTAAATCCACAAGCCGGGCCTAGAGCACAGTGATTCTGAGGCTTTGCACTGTTCTTCTACCGCTGCAGCCGGCTAGAGCACAGTGATTCTGAGGCTTTGCACCGTTCTTCCACCGCTGCAGCCGGAACCCAGGCCAGGCCAGGCACCCCCCTCCTGTGAGTAAATGTGACCGGAGCCCCTGCCTTGGAGGCATTCAGGTCACCCCTGGTACCTGCTGCTGCTAACACTGGGTGCTAAGGGGGGAGAGAGTCTTAACGTGGGACCCTGGCAGAGCAGCCAGCACCCTCCTTTAGAAGTGAGAAGGGCTCTGGCTCTTAAGGCCCCGGCCCAGCCAACCTTCCTGACCTGGGGGTGGCAAAGAGGGCAGCAGTCAGTGCTGGGACATCCCACCGGCTGCCGTGCTGTGATGCCCGTGTCCCTGCTGGGCCTGCCATGTGGCCCTGGTGCAGGGGCCACTGTGCCCAGGGCCTGCTGTTCAGCCCCCAGAGCTCAGTGCTTTTCCCTCTCGTCCCAGGCACGGGGCCTGCGCGCTAGCTGCGGATTGAACTGGGAGTTGTAGCGACGTTTCCTGTCATCCGCCTCCTCCTCCTCCTTCGGCTGGGGCTCCCCCCGCCGCCCACCCAGCAGGGGTTTCGCCCCGCCCCGCCGCGCCGCCCCCCCCGCCCCCCCCGCGGCAGCCGCTCCAGGGAGAGGGAGGCAGAACTGCAAGGACAAGCAGAAGGCAACCATAGACCTCTAAGCCCTGGGCTACCAGCTGGCCGCATGGTCCATGAGAACTACAACTCCCAGCATGCAATTCTCTCTCTCTCTCTCTCTCTCTCTGCAGGAGAGAGGTGATGCATGCTGGGACATGTAGGCTTCTATTTCCACACCTCCTTCCCAATACACCTGCAGCTGGGAACAAGGGAAGTAAATTGCATGCTGGTAAGTGTAGTCCTTGTGGCCTGCAGCATTGCATGCTGGGACTCTTAGTCCCTGAATCCCCTCTATGGTGCTACTCTTACTAGGTCACTGAAACCTAGCTCTGCCGGTATCCAGCTCACCCCACTGCCACTTTCTCCTCCGCTGGCCTCTCTTTCTCCTTCTTGCGCTTCTTCCCCTCCCCTTTCTTCTTGCGCAGGTGACTTTCCATCTCCCGCAGCGGGTCCAGCATGCCCTTCAGCTTTTCCTGCTTGGTCACAGCTGCTGCCTCCAGGCTACGGTCAGGGGCTTCCTGGTACCATGGCCGGCTGGTCTGCGCCTCAGCGGCGCTCTGCCCCAGATAGGTCAGCAGCCCAATAGCCTTCTCCTGGCGCTCCTGGTTGGGACAAAGCAGAACTGAATTGCCTAGAAGAGGGGGCAGCCTCATCTGTAAGGGGGCAGGGTGGGGCCGATCATGGCTCTGGGTGAGACAGTGTTTGCAGCGAGGGAAGAGGAACTGGAGGGCAGCCAACGGGATGGAGAACCGGTGGATGGGGGGAGCCAGCGTGCAGGGCATGGAGCAGCATTGCCTTCTAGTGGTGTAAGAGCATGTTGTGGGGGAAGAGGGAGCCCTCAATTCTGTACACAGCCTCTTCCTCCTACAGGGAGCTGTGTTCATACCCACCCTCATCCCCTCTCCTCCAAGACACCAGGATCTGAAACTCAACTGTACCCCAGCTCCTGTAACAGGGCAGGTGTAGCTACTCTATTGCACGACCCCCCACCCATCAATGCAGCTATGCGGGGGCAACGTAAGCCAGGGTGGAGCTCCCAGAGAATGCAGGTGCTGCTCCCCACCTCACCCCCCCTTTACCTTTTCCTTGCGCTTCTCCTCCTCATATTCCTTGTTCCCGGCCTTGCCTTCTGGTCTGCTTCACTCCCCCTGCCTTTGGAAATGGTTCAGCCCAGCTCCCTTCTGGTCTGCTTCACTCCCCCTGCCTTTGGAAATGGTTCAGCCCAGCTCCCTTCTGGTCTGCTTCACTCCCCCTGCCTTTGGAAATGGTTCAGCCCAGCTCCCTTCTGGTCTGCTTCACTCCCCCTGCCTTTGGAAATGGTTCAGCCCAGCTCCCTTCTGGTCTGCTTCACTCCCCCTGCCTTTGGAAATGGTTCAGCCCAGCTCCCTTCTGGTCTGCTTCACTCCCCCTGCCTTTGGAAATGGTTCAGCCCAGCTCCCTTCTGGTCTGCTTCACTCCCCCTGCCTTTGGAAATGGTTCAGCCCAGCTCCCTTCTGGTCTGCTTCACTCCCCCTGCCTTTGGAAATGGTTCAGCCCAGCTCCCTTCTGGTCTGCTTCACTCCCCCTGCCTTTGGAAATGGTTCAGCCCAGCTCCCTTCTGGTCTGCTTCACTCCCCCTGCCTTTGGAAATGGTTCAGCCCAGCTCCCTTCTGGTCTGCTTCACTCCCCCTGCCTTTGGAAATGGTTCAGCCCAGCTCCCTTCTGGTCTGCTTCACTCCCCCTGCCTTTGGAAATGGTTCAGCCCAGTTCCCCTTTCTTCTGCTTTCCCTCCCATATTTGAAAACGGTCAATCCCAGAGCTCCCTGCCTCTTTATCCCTACGCCGTTTAGAAATGGCTCAGCCCCGCTCCCGTTTCGTTTTCACTCCTTTTGGAAATGGTTTAACCCAGGTTCTTACCCCCCCCCCAGACGCTTAAAAATAGTTCAACCCATGACCCCATGGCACGAGTGTCCACTGTCACGCATGCGCACTCGCGGCCGCTTGATGGCGTGCGCATGCGCAGTCATTCACCTCCTGTTCGGCCAGCAGCGCCCGAGCCTCCCGCTGTCGCTGCTCCTCCTGCGCCTGCGCCTCGTCCCGCCGCACGCGGGCCACATTGTCCTTGTTCCGCACGTGCCACGACTTCTTCGGCAGGATGTTCATGGTCCCCGCTCGGGTCCGCCCGGCGCCGCGCCACTTCAGCTTCCGGGTCAGCTCCGCGTTCCAGAGCCGCCCCCTTTCCCCCGCTCTGAATCCTGATTCGCGGGTCCTAGTCCCGCCCTCGCTCCCTGATTGGAGACCCAACGTAGCACCGCCCCTTTTGCCTGATTGGTCCTCATCCAACCTCCCGCCCGAGCTCTTCTCTCATTGGCCTATTGTAGCCACGCCCCTCAGCCAAGCTCTGATTGGGCCAAGCTGGACACAGGCACAGCCCCTTGTAGCCCATTGGACGGGCCAAGGCCCCATTTTCACACCTCCCCTCCCCCACCCTGGGGCTGTTGCCCCCCCAGAGGAGTGAGACACCCCGGCCCCCTCCCCCATCTCT